TGCCAGTGTCTTCACACAGGCCCTCTCTGGGGCTGAGCCCCATCTTGCAGAAAAATGCATGGAACAATTCTACCTAAATCAGAATGTTCCCTTCTGAGTCATTTCCCATCCCCCCAATCCCATGTCCCCCAGTTCATAAGGAGATTAGACCATCATCCCCATATCAATAGTAGAACTCCTGTATTTTATTTTCTACCATCCTGATCTGTATAAATTTAGGAAAGAGGGAAGAAGAAAGGAAGGAAAGTAGAAAACTAATTAACATTTGTTAAAAATTTATACTATATGTCAGGCCCACCCTATTCCCTAAAATGGTTTTGGGGTTTGTTTTGTTTTCTTTTTTGAGATTAGGGTCTCAATATGTTGCTCAGCCTAGTCTCAAACTCCTAAGCTCAAGTAATTATCCTACCCCAGCCTCTCAAGTAGCTGAGACTTAGGGGCATACTACCAGACCCAGCTCAAAACAGCTTACATACACTTTTCACTTAATATACATAAAAGTATGTAAGAGTGATATTATTGCCTTAATTTTAGAAGTGAAGACTAAAGCTCAGATAGTTTAAAAACTCTCCCAAAGCAAGGATTCTGAACAGGACCCAATACTAAAGTCCTGTCACATTATTTCTGCTACCCCAACTTGCCTATATAGCATATTATGTAAATAAAAATTTTGTTGAGATATAATTCACATACCATAAAATTCAATTTGGTAGTTTTTAGTATATTCACAAGGTTGTGAAACCATCCCCACTAATTACCTCCAGAACATTTCCATCATTCCCAAAAGAAACCCCAAATCAATGAGCAGTCATAGTCATTTCCCATTCCCGCACCATCCCTAGTCCCTGGCAATCACTTTGTCTCTATGGATTTGCTTCTTCTGGGTATTTCATAGAAATGGAAGCATACAATATGTGGTCTTTTGTGTCTGGCTTTTTTCACTTAGCACAGTCATTTTAAGGTTCATCCATATTGTCACATGTATCGGTACTTGATTTATTTTTACAGCTGAACAACAGTCCATTATAAGAACATACCACATTTTGTTTATCCATTCATAAGTTGATGGACACTTGGATTGTTTCCACTTTTTAGCTATTATGAATAATGCTCCTATAAACATTTATGTACAAGTTTTTGTGTGGACATACATTTTTAATTCTCCTGAGTATATACCTAGGAGTGGAGTTCCTGGACCATATAATAGTAAGTCTATGTTTAGCTTTCTGAAGAAATGCCAAACTGTTTTCTAAAGTGGCTACATCATTTTATATTTCCACCAGAAATGAATGAGGGTTCAACTTCTTCATCTCTGTGCCAACTCTTATTATTATCTGTCTTTTTTATAGCAGTAATTCTAGCTGTAAAGAGGTATCTCACTCAAGTTTTGATTTGCATTTTCCTAATAACCAATAATGTTGAGCACCTTTTCGCATGCCTATTGGCCATTTGTACATGTCTTTGGAGAAAGTATTCAAATCTTTGCCCATTTTTAAATTGGGACATTTGTCTTTTTGTTGTTGAGTTGTATTCTTTATATATTCTAGAAACTAGGCCCTTTTCAGATATATGATGTAGATTATCTTGTCACCTTTTTTTTTTTTTTTTTTGAGATGGAGTCTTTCTCTGTTGCCCAGGCTGGAGTGCAGTGGTGCAATTTCAGCTCACCGTAACCTCTGCATCCCGGGTTCAAGCAATTCCCCTGCCTCAGCCTCCTGAGTAGCTGGGATTACAGGTGCACACCACCACGCCTGGCTAATTTTTGTATTTTTAGTAGAGACAAGGTTTCATGATGTTCGCCAGGCTGGTCTCAAACTCCTGACCTCAGGTGATCCACCCTCCTTGGCCTCCCAAAGTGCTGGGATTACAGGCGTAAGCCACCATGCCCAGCCCTTTTCACTTTCTTGATAGTGGCCTTCAAAGAACAAAAGTTTTTAGTTTTGAAGTCCAATTTATCTATTTTTTTTTTTTTACTTATTTTTGCCTCAGGCATCATGTCTAATAAACCGTCGCCTAAATCAAGATTATGAAGATTTATACCTATGTTTTTTCCCTAAGAGTGTTATAGTTTTACATTTAGGCCCTTGGTTCACGTTGAGTTAATTTTGTATATGGTATGAGTAGGGCTCCAACTTTATTCTTTTGCATGTGGATATTCAGTTGACCCAGTACCATTTATTTCCCCATCGAGTTGTCTTGTTACCCTTATCAAAACCCAGCTAATAATAAATGCGTGGGTATGTTTCTGAAATCTCAATTCTATTTCATTGATTTATATGTCTATCCTTATGTCAGTACCACACTATCTTGATTACTGTAGCTACACAGTAAGTTTTAAAATTCGGAAGTGTGAGTCCTCAAACTTTGTTGAGTTTTGTTGATTTTTCAAGATCATTTTGACTATCCTGAGTGTGTTGTTATAGTTTTCCGTATACAAGTCTTGCATTTGTTTTGTTAAATGCATTCAAATGACCTATCTTCAAGTTCACCAATACTTTCTTCTACCTGTTCAAATATGCTGTTGAGTTCTTCTAGTGACTTTTTAAAATTGTAGTTATTGTACTTTTCCATTGCAGAAATTTCTATTTGGTTCTTTTTATCATTTTTATCTCTTTATTACTATTCTTTATTTGGTGAGACATCAATCTCATACTTTCCTTTAATTCTTTAGATATGATTTCTTCTAGTTCCTTGAATGTATTTATAAAGCTGAGTTAATATCTACGTTCAGTTAAGTTCAGTGTGTGGGCTTCCTCAGGGACAGTTTCTGTTTACCTGGGATGTTTTTTTTTTCTTCTGTATAAGCCATATTTTCTTGTTTATTTGTATATCTTATAATTTTTCTTCAAAACTGAACATTTAAAAAACATGAAGCCAGGCAAAGTGACTTACACCTGTAATCCCAGCACTTTGGGAGGCTGAGGCAGGAGGATTGCTTACACCTGGGAGTTCAATAACAGTCCAGAGAACATAGCAAGACCCTGACTCTACAAAAACTATGAAAATTAACCAGGTGTGATGACACATGCCTATAGTCCCAGCTACTTGGGAAGCTGCGGCGGGAGGATCACTTAAGCCCAAGAATTTGAGGCTGCAGTGAGCTATGATTGCACCACTTCACTTCAGCCTGGGCAATAGTGAGATCCTGTCTCAAAAAAATAAATAAATACACACACACACAATGTGACAACTTTGGACGCCAGACTCCCTTCTCCTCCCTGAGTTTGTTTTTGTTGCTGTTCGTTGTTCTTTTTTTATTGTTGTTGTTGCTGCTGTTTTCTGACTTTCTTAAATTAATTCTGTGAAGTCTGTATTCTTTACCATGTGTAACCGCCAAAGTCTCTGTTCTGTTTGCTTATTGACCAGCTAATAAATAGAGATTTTTTTTTTTTTAATTTCTTGAACTAATAACTCTGGAACCAACAAGTCTCCCAGTCTTTGCCAAGCACTTCTGCATGTGTGTTTTGGGGCATGCCTTCAATGATCAGATAGGCAGTTTACAGCTCTGCCTTAGCCTTCACTTCTTACTTGTGCAGAGCCTCAAGGTCAGCCAGAGGTGAGAGATTAGGGCCTTCTCAGGTCTTTCCTGGGAATGTGTGTAGCCCTGCACATGCACATGGCTTTTTAGATTCCCAGGGATTTGTCCAAGCTTTTCAAACCCCCTACAGACATCTCATTCCTCAGGGGTTTATTTTACATTTTTTACTCAGCCTTTTGTTAGTCCCAACTGGAATCACTGCCTCAGAACGTTACAATGTTGAAAAATTCCAACTGATTATTTTTGACAAACATCTTAGTAATATAGCTGTTCACACAGAGGATGTTCTGAGTCAGGTCACATAAAGAAAAGCCCAGAGGACGAAACTTTACAGGCAACTTCCAAAAAGGTCACAAAGTGACAGTTCTCTGGGGATGAGGCTTTTTGGGAAGCTCCAAACCTGTTCTGTTTCCTTCCATCAGCTGCTAGTTTGCTAATCTTCAGAGTTACCACAGCTGCAAAGGCCCTCATGGAGGTGGGGCAAAGTGAGTGTGACCAGGACTACTTGAAATGCCATAACGCTCGTAGTTCTTAATGATATTCAACCATTTTTCTTAAATAAATGCTCCCAGATTGTTGCAAGGATTTGGTTAACTTCCAAAATTCTGGAAAACTTATTTTCATCATTTTTCGCTAGTGTTCTCATTGTTTTAATGAAGGAGTTGATTTTTCAGAGGTATTTATGCCACCATTCTGTCAGTGTTTCTCTTGAAGGAACACATAGTAAGTATTATCTTGATTCTAATCTACATTTTGTTTCTTTCTACTCACAAAGTTGCATATTTCTTTCCTCTGCTTCAGTGAGTAAGTCATAAAATTCAGAAAGGAGATGTGAAAAAGCATATTTTCTGATTTCTTTTTGTGCTATGGTGTTATGGAAGAATGTATCAGGAACAAGGTAAACCTAAGCTGTTTCTTTCCAAATAAATATAAATAATATATAAGTAGATGTAAGTCCAGAAGCATAGTCTTTCTCATTCTATGCTAGTCACTAAATGAATTGGGGATTGGAGACTTCTCTGATTAAGGAGGGGTGGAAGAGGGTATGTAATCCAGGAAAAGAGGGTTTTTGTGCCTGGGTTTCCTGCAGTGAGAAGAGCGGAACTTCTCAACGGACCAGGTATGTGATGATTACACAACTCTGAATTTCACTTGCTGGTATTTACGTCTTCTCAATGGCTTTCTTCAAACAGCAGATGCTGAAATGAGAGGTGTAAAAGAAAACCATATTCCCCTTCCTAAGCAAAACTGCAATTTGCAAAATCATCGGTGACAGGTAATGGTGACTGGTGATTCATTACTGATGATGTCTTGGGCCAAATTCCAGAAGCCAATGTATATTCAGAAGGGGGAAGGAGAAGATCTGCACGTATGACTTCACCCAGAAGCCCTGGCATATAAACAAGAGGTGAGTCAGTTTTACCCAATACCAGGCCTAGCACTTTCCAAACAGATTGAGACCATGGCAGTCCTCCATGCCATGCTGCTGCAGCCACTGAAGATGTTTCTGTGCCTCAGTCTACAGCTTTCTTCTGCCACCTTTATAAGGTACAGTAACACCTGCTTCACCTTTGATGAATATTACACCATCACCCTAGACATCAAGGCCAGTTCACATATCTACGAAAGCAATGCAGTCTATTCTGGTGAGTAGAAGCCATGCTCTCTGCTGTACTTTGTTCCCTGAGGGAAATTAACCAGAATTTCAGAACACACTCCTCTATCGCTACTCGCAATTATACAAAACATGTGTCTTCTGAACCCAATGGGAAGCAAGGGAAGGAAGAGAAAGAAGGAGAATTAAGGGAGTGGGTTGGGGGGGGTGGCTATTTCTGCATGTTCCTTGTGAACTCAAGCCACAGGAGTGAGAAAGCCCTAACCCCAGAGTCACTGAGTCCCAGCAAGAGCATGCTTGGGGTAAATCCTCTGACTTAAATAAAATGGGCACTTTTATCATTTTAAGGGATAATCATTGCATTCCAGTGTGTAATCTTTTCTCTTTTTGTTTTTGTTTTTCTGGAGACAGAGTCTCACTTCATCACCCAGGCTGGAATGTAATGATACAATTTCAGCTCACTGCAACCTCCGCCTCCTGGGTTCAAGCAATTCTCATACCTCAGCCTCCCAAGTAGCTGGGATTACAGGTGCGCACCACCACACCTGGCTAATTTTTTGTGTTTTTAGTAGAGTTGGGACTTCTCCATGTTGACCAGGCTAGTCTTGAACTCCTGGCTTCAAGTGATCCACCCACCTCAGTCACTCAAAGTGCTGGAATTACAGGTGTGAGCCACCACACCCAGCCTCCAGTGTGTAATCTTTTCATATCTATTTGACAAAATGCTGCTGCTGGGGATACCTGTATACTGCATTTAGTCCGTGGGTGAAAAAAATCTAATAAACTATACAGGGGAAGTATTACTAACCCACTTTATGTATGAGAAGCCTGAGGCCAAGGGAAATTAAATGACCTGCCCAGAGTCTCCCTTCTAGTAAGTCATACAACTGGCTCTTGAATCTTAGTCTGTTCATTCTTAATCCAATGCTTTTCTTAGAGGTGTCCAGTAGATATTTTTTATATATCCCTTTTCGAATCAGCCAAACCTAAAAGTCAAGGATTATGCTTTCTAATTAGTTTCATAATAACAACACTTCATACGGTGTTCACATGTAATAGTGACCTATTAGGGAGATACCATTATCATTCCCATTTTGTAGATGAGAAACAGAGACAGATGCTAAGTGACTCTTGCTCAGGTCCCGGAGCTACTTAAATGGTGAACCTAAGATATGAACCAGCATTCCAGCTTCAGAGACCCTGCCTTTAACCACTGTATACTCTTCCTTACAGTAATGAGAGCTAACACTTCTTACGATGTGCTGGGCATGTTTTAGGAGTAGATGCTGTTATCATTTTACAGACAAGAACTGAGGCACAGAGAAGTTAAAAATTTACACTAGTAAGTAACCTAGCTATGATTTGAATCTAAATAGCACAGCCAAAACTCGTACAGCTTTTTGTCCAGCCAGGCTGTCCAGCTTCAGAACCTGTCTTCTTATCTACTGTGTTATCCTGCCTTCTTTAAAAGTCTAACTAACTTTTGCAAAGACCACCAGGGTGATCTCCACACTCACAGTCTACGTCTCAGACTTCAGCAGGTGAACAATCATGGCATGCCTCACGCGCTCACCTCGCTTATCTTTTGTCTTACTTTTAAATGAGGACTGACACTATGTGCTTCAGTTGTGATGGGGCCAGCTACGTCCCACTCCCTCAGGCAGTCGATATTGTCCTGACAGGGCAGGGAGGATAATCTTGTAATTCAAGATGAGCACAGGTGGACGGACATATGTGCAACTTGGGGGAGAGCCTGAGGGGTCAGAGGCACTACTGCAAAAGAGATCACAAGCCTCTGGCATTTAAGATAATACCTCTCCAGGTGAAAGATTTTGCTAATGCAATGGAAGAAAGAGAAATCTATCACTGAGCATGGTGGCTCACACCTGTAATCTCGGCGATTTGGGAGGTCAAGGCAGGCAAATTGCTTGAACTCAAGAGTTCGAGACCAGACTGGGCAACATGGCGAAACATAGTCTTTACAAAAATTAGCCAGACGTGGTGATGCGTGCCTGTGATCCCAGCTACTCAGGAGGCTGAGGTGGGAGGACGGCTTAAACCCCGGAGGTGGAAGTTGCAGTGAGCTGAGACCACGTCACTGCACTCCAGCCTAGGTGACAGAGCAAGACTCCATCTCAAAACAAAGAAACCTATCATGTGAAGATGCCATGGAGGGGGCGACATGGGAGCCTTCTGAAAGTAGAAAGACAGGAGAAAGATGAGTCAACATGATCCACTGGGGTAAAGGGGATCACAGCAGCCACAGAGGCGTTAGGGAGCAGGGAAAGGGAACGGGGAAAGAGGAGAAGAACTAAGGTTCCTTGAATGCCTACTTATGCCATGTACCCCCAAACTTTATCCAATTCCATTTTAAAACAGAAATGTGCTGTGAAAGCTCTGTGGCAAATTGACTTATGATACAAATGATTTAAGTCAAGGGTCAAAATCCTCACCCACAGAGATGTGAATGGCCAGATCCCACCCCCGTGGTTACACAGCAGGCTCCACGATTGCCTTGCAGGTGTTATTGCCAGAACTCAGGACTTCTGGGGACTCTGAGTAAACGGCCATCCAGGCCAAGTGCTTTTCCTTATTTTGGTTTTGAAATTCTTTTAAACTCTGGGGCTATGTCAACATTGGTAAACTGTGTATAAATGGCTTGGCAGGTCCCAAGAGACAACTGCAGCTCAAGCAACATCTTAGAACAGGTTTCCTGGGTCTGTTTTGGTATCAGTGAAAGAAACCCTTAATACAGTGACATTTACACTAAGACTGTGCTGAGCAACCATCTGCCTTTTTTTAAAAATACAAAAACAAAACTTCTATGGGCAAGAGGGATGTGATTTGCTTGCTTTTCTTGCTAAACTTTAAGCCTTAAGGGCACTATACAACACTGGATGCATGACTTTTAAAATCAACCAATGAGTAGTTACTTAGGGCCCTCCAGAGGCACAACACTGGGCTGTCCAGATACCAACACAGATGAAACCACAGCATGCAGCACAAAGTAGAATATGATTAAGAACTCAACAGAAAAAAAAGAAAAAAATAAAAAAGAAGAAAAGAAAAAAAAGAATGAGAGTTAAACAGGGATAAATCGGTCCAGAGGTGGGACATCAGCAAGCTGTTGGAGTGGAAGAGGGGATGTGATGTATGAGGAGAGGGAAGGAAGGCTTTCAGGCAGGCTGCCGGAGGTGAGCAAGGATCAGCGGCAGGTGCCTTTGCAGAAAAAGGGAAAGACTGGCCGCCTTTAGAGTGGGAATACAAACAGCAGGCTGAGGCTAGGTTCTTACAGGCCAAAAACATGTGTTGGATACTGTAATCAACAGACCAGAGGCAGAAATATAAAAGCAGAAATGTTGACATGCTCTAGAAGGAAGGACCCTTTGAAGCTTTGAACAGGAGTGTGTTCTGATGGACGTGCTGCATTAAGGAAGTCTGGTCTGGCCGCAGCATGTTGCAAGGCCACCTAAAGGAGAAGAACCTAAGCCCAGAAATCCAGAAAATGTGGGTGCCTAAGAGGAAAGAAAGAGGACTTAAACCAGAGTGGAAGGGGAAAAGCAGGACAGGGCACACCTGTGCAGAGCTCACACTGATGATTATCTGGATGACACTGTCTCTGCTCACCTTCTACTGCACCTGACGCACAGATCTAGAACAACTGTCAGGTGCTCACTGAGCAAGCCGAGGTCTGTGGGATCTGCATCACCCGACCGTGACTGGCAAAACTAACAACTAGAACACAGAACTGTAGTGTGCGTATAGTCACATAATAACAATTGTAACATATCCAGTGCTCCCCAAGTATTAAAATCTTCACATTCTTCTCTTTATTCTCCAGGACCTTTCAAGATAGGTATCATGATCTCAGATAATGAAGGATAACGTCATTATCCCCAGACCTAGAACCAGGCCAGGTGCAAAGTGGGCACGCAAGAAATATTTATGGAGTGAATGATGAACAATAAGGAAGCCAAGGCTCGGAGGTGAAATGACTTGCTCCTAAGTGTTAGAGTCAGAATTCAGATCCGGGACTGTCTGATCCTTTTGTGTTACAAGATCAATTTGCTTCACTTTGTTAAGGAGAAGCCTTAAAGAAATTTTCCGCGGCTGAAAGGGTCCAGGAAAGAACAATAGCCTAGCATTGAGGAATTCACTCAGAAGAGATCTCCTAAGGGAAGAAATGGAGAGACAGATATTTTCTTTAAATGCCCTCTCCATTATACATCCGAAGGCTGAAATTAACAAGTGGAATTAACAAGTTACTTGGGGTAACCCTCTAAGGAGTTAGGGCCCCCGTGGCTCAAAGGCACTCCTTCCCACACCCTAACAACAGAGACCAAGAGAATCAGCATTTCTGGAACCACAAAAAGGGTTTTGCTTTTACTTGGCCCACCTGGCCTTTCCACGTGCATCAGCCTCTTCTGTCCCCACACTCCCCCTGAGAAGAGGACCAAGCAGGCTTGTCTTCTCATCTGAGAAATGGGTCCTGGCTCAAAGAGGTAGACAATCACTCCCAGAATCTCACCCCTCGTGTGTAGCAAAACCAGAGCTGGGTATAGGTTTTCTTTTTTCTGCCTTTTACTGTAGAAAATTTGGAAAACACCAAAAAGCACTAGAAAGAAAATAAAAATCATCCACAATCCCACTACCAAGAAATCATCACAATTAATAATCTTGATGTATTTCCTTCCAGACTTTCAACTTCTTTTACAAAAGTGAGACCGCACTCTATGTACATATTCTTTGTAACTTTCTTGTTCCACGCTTTGTTTTGATGTCACCGTCCTCATCCCTTGAGCTTGGCTCACAGGGAACAGACAGCTGATTTTGTCTTCACCATTTCCTCCCAGGATTCGTTTCCGTGAATGACAGCGTCTATGCTGTGGTCAGGAAAGCCTTGGACAAGAACGGTGACTCAGTGGGCCTCTGGCAAAGAGCGGATGAAAACTGCTACAGCAACTCCACGTTTTACGTGAAAGATCAATACATGACAGTCCTAGAGGCACAGTGGCAAGCTCCTAAATCTGAGAACATAACTGAAGTGGAGATATAGTAAGAACCTAGCTTGCTTGGCTTTGGGCTTTAAAATGTTCATATTGGGTTTATGCAGTTTTACACTAAGCAAGGAGGACTTAAAATACAATCCAGATGTGATGTGCAGTACTCAGCAGCCGTACTTCATTACCGTCTCACAATGCTCTACCATACCTTCCATCTACAGGAGCTTGCAGACACACACATTCACACACACATTCACACACATACCACACACCACACACACACACCACACACACCTCACACACACTTACACCACACATACATACCACACACACCACACATACCACACACACACACCCACACACACTCACACACACTTACACCACATACATGCCTCTACAATGCACACCACACATACCACACACACACACACACCACACACATACGCCACACGCACTCCTACACACAGTCACATACACACCACACATACACCCTACATTACACCACACACATACCACAACACACACCACACATACCACACACACACACTTCACACATACATATACCACGTTATTCCCACACACAGCCTCTGGGCACACACACCACACACCTCACATTTACACCACGCACAATATACATACCACACACCACACACATACCACAGACAATTAACACTCATATACATAATATCACACACACCACACGCACCACATACACCACATGCTGCCAAACATGTCACCACACATATACTCTACACACAGCCCCACACACACTCCTCACACCTCACAATACACTTACACCACACACATACATACCACACACACCACACATACTACACACACAAATTGGCCACCTCAACATACATATCACACGCACCACACACACCACATACACCACACAAGCTCGCAGCACACACATATACCACACACACACCACACATACACCACACACACCACACATACCACACACCTCACACACCTTTCACAGCACATACAGTACACCTTGGCACATTAAATATACACATAAGTGAGCACCACACATACCACACACACATCACACAACACATACATATCACATACACACCACACACACACAGCATATACCACATACCTATACCACACACATACATACCACACACACACACACATGCCACACACACACCACATATACCTATCACAAACACCACACACACACACCACACACATACACCACACACACCACACACACCAGCACACACACATGCTACACACACACACACCACATATACTCTATCACAAACACCACACATACATCACACATACACCACACACCACACACACACCACACACACATACCACACACACCACACACACATACCACACACACCACACACACATGCCACACACACACATATACCTATCACAAACACCACACACACATCACACATACACCACACACACCACACACACACCACACACACACATACATACCACACACACCACACACACACATGCCACGCACACACCACATATACCTATCACAAACACCACACAATATATCACACATACACCACACACACCACACACACACCACACACACACATACATACCACACACACCACATACCTACACATGCTACACTTGTGCCACACACACCTACAGAGCACATGCACCACTCACCACACACGACACACACACACCACAGACACCATTCACACCACACATGTACATAACACACACACCACCACCACACACACACACCACACACACACCACTCACACCACTCACACTGCACACACCACACACACCACACACATTACACACAATACACGCCACACACACTACACACAACACACGGCATACATACCACACACACACCAGACACCATTACACACACACACCACACACACCACACACCACACGCAGCACACATACACACCACACACACATATATACCACACAGACCACACATAACACATACACACCACACACCACACACACAAACATCACACACACCACACACCACACATACCACACACACTCCACACACACCACATACAACACACACAGCACACACCACACACACACACACCACATACACACATACCACACACACACCACACACACTTTCATACCACACACGTACATACCACACACAAGTACATACCACACACAAGTACATACCGTACACACACCATAGAGGTACCGCACACACACCCCACACATACACCACACACACCATACAAATACCACACACACACACACACCACCCCCACACCACGTGTTACTACACACCATACACATACCATATACACACACTACACACATATCTTACAGACACGCACACACCAGACCACATTCCCACACATACCCCCTTTCTACACACACACACAAACACACACACACACACGCTCAACATCCTCAGAACTGAGCACCTTCTTTGTTTCATATTCCCTACGTTCAAACTGGAGAATCGTTTTTTAAAACATGGCTTCATTTTGGAAATGGCTCGCTAACAGAAAGTGTGATGATTGTGTAATAAAACTGTCTTGCTAGTGTCACACGAAATGGACACACTCAGATTCTGAGGTAAGGTCACCTGGAATCGCATTACACTTTAACAACAAATCTTCCTCCCAGCTAGGATCTGTCATTAGGTTTACTTTAGGAACCACATGCTGGGAAGTACAAGCTTTCAGATTCCATTCTGTACTGAAAGGGCCAGTCTGACCCTCAGGCTGTGTCAGCTTGAACAGCCATGTCTCTGTGGAAGCTGGTAATGATGACGATGCTGTCGAACCACGCGGCCCTCTCCCTCCACGCACTGGGCCTGGTCGGACCTAACTGGCTTTGGAGGAGGGACTATTGTGCCCACAGAAAGACTGCAAGAGTAGAACCCAATGGGAGCTACTACAATCCAGCCTCCCAGTGACAGCAGTTGCTTAGAAGCCAGCCAAGGCCAATTAGGGCAAGGGCTTTCTTTTCATCTCACATCGTAAAGCCTCCACATTCCAAGCAACAAGAGATGAAAGACCAAACAATGACCATCTGCAAGAGAAACGGCCCAATCCCACTGACAGTGTGCTCTCCCGACCTCTCCTAACTTCCACACCCGCGATAACACGCTGGCCTCCCTGCTCATTTATACCACGTTACATGGCCTTGATCAGCGAGGCTGAGTCAAGGGGAGTGGAGCCCCACATATTATGGGGGATGCAGAAAGCAGGGGACTCCACAGTGGTGGGCTGGGCACAAAAGGGATGGGAAGAGGTCCCTACTCATGGACTGTTACAATGAGGTTAGGGAGGTGAGGTTAGGGAGGCAAGGCCTATATAGAGAAAATGACAGGTTAAACACTTCCTCAAGAAACCATTCCCTGAACTCCCAAATCAAATAGAAGCTCCCAGTTATACACCCTCAGAATTTCTTCCCCTTCATCACAGCGTGCATCACAGATCAATTCTTACCTAGGTAACTGATCATCTGTTTAAAATCTGTCCCTCTGAAGACACTGTAAGTGCCCTGAGGGTGAAAACCAGGCCATCTTGCTCAAACACTGCCCCCTCAGCACCAGGCACAGTGACTGACATGAGGTGTCCTTTCATTAATGATCTAACACATGTATGAACAAGGGACTCATGTAATAATGGGTTTATTGATAGGATAACAGACCAAGTGGTACCGGTCGTTTAGCAAACATAAAGCACCTATGTATGATATGTCAGGCACTGTTGACAACAGAACCTGCCTTATGAAGTTGGTCCTCCCATGGGGACAGAGGCTCCTAGCAAGTCAGTGCAACAGTGTGTCATGCCTAGCTTAGTGACATAGGGGAAAACCACTTCATAGAGGTTACCATTGAGTCTATGAGCAGATTGACCAGGAGAGGTATTACAGGCAGAGGGACTGGCTCAAACAAAGACCAGGGGTACGTGTACCAGCCTGTAGGCAGTCAGGGTGGTGACGTTGGTGGGTGTGTGGGAATGGGGGAGGCTGTCTGGAAGTTGACCAAGATCGTGGAGGATCTTATCAATAAAAAGCAGACCAGTATTTAATGATCTGCTCATTGTGCCATACAGAAAGTAAGCACAAAAAGAATTAAGAGGCTGGGAAGTCAGAAATGTGAGCTGAACTTGTGAATTCCGCATGAGGTCCTCACCATTATCTCTCAATGATTTGCCCTCCACAGAGCTTTCTCTGTGCAGACCAGAGCCCTGACTATACTTTCTACTCTGAAGCTGACAGAAAAAGGTGACTTCCTCTGCAGCCCATTTGCAAATCTGGCAGTGAACTCAGTCAGCCTGGAAAATTACCCTGTGAGTTCCCTAGAAAAGAGGGTCTTCTTACCATGCATTGCTCAGCTATCTATCAGCTGACTCTCCCTGCACCTTGAGACCTATAGAAGATTTGCCCAACCCGTTGTCCCATGCCCTTTGGAAAACAAAAACCCTCCCCCAAGATGTCTGCAAATTCCCAGGGTCCTTATATTCTCAGGGTCATCTGTGTCTCCAAACGCCACTTCCATAGGAGCTGTTTCTGTTCAATACCACATAGACACAATGTGAAAACATCTTCCTCAGTTTCCACAAATAATTCCCACTCACACAAAGCCTTCATGGATACAGTAGACTTTAACCAAAGGGTTTTTAAGGGATTGGGGGTAGAGGCTGGGGAGTTGTACAAAGAAGGATTGATAACAGAAATAGCAATAATGTCTGTAGTTCTTAAAGTGGCCTTTGGCCACCACCACTCCACTAGGAATTTCTACAGCTTTTCACAGGCTGTCGCCCCCAGCTTCGCACCTCCCTGTTTCCTTCCCTGTCTTCTTCCCTGTTCCCTTTCTTTTCTCTAACCTCCCTCTAAGGAGCTATATATAACAAATTTAAAGCTGGGCACGGTGGCTCACACCTGTAATCCCAACACTTTGGGAGGCCAAGGCGGAAGGATCCCTTGAGCCCAGGAGCTCAAGACCAACCTGGACAACACAGTGAGACTTTGTCTCTATTTGATTTTTTTTTTTTTTTTTTTTTGAGAAGGAGTCTCACTCTGTTGCCCAGGCTGGAGTGCAGTAGTGCGATCTCAGCTCACTGCAACTTCTGCCTCCCGGGTTCAAGTGATTCTCCTGCCTCAGCCTCCCAAGTAGCTGGGATTATAGGCATGAGCCACCACACCTGGCTAATTTTTATATTTTTAGTGGAGATGGGGTTTCACCATGTTGGCCAGACTGGTCTTGAACTCCTGACCTCAAGCGATCCACCTAACTCAGCCTCCCAAAGTGCTGGGATTACATGCATCAGCCACCACACCCGGCCTAATTTTTTTTTTTTTTTTTAATTTACAAAAACGTTCAAGAAAGGAGATTCGGAAAAGTAGGTAACTTGTCTAAGGCCACACAGAAAGCAAATGGCCAAAAGAAGACTCCTATTCCATATCCTATTTTTTCCACTTTTCTTAGACTTACATCAAAACTATAACAATATCTTGTTTTTGAATGACTTTTTTAAATACAAGATTCAACCAAGAACAAGAAACATTAGACTTTCTCACTGTCCAACAACGGGTGGTCCTCACGAGCCCCCAGACACTGAAAGACACATAGCATGCTGCCTGTTTTCCCGCCAGTTACGCATTGCAAAATGTGTTCAAAGGGAGAATTATATTCAACAACAAATTGTAAAGTGATTGTGCCTAATGAAACTATTATATGAATGTCTTAACTGTTTCCTTGGTGGATTTCCCTCTGCAAGAAAACAGATAGTAGCTTTTTCCTCAAGGCCATTGTCAGGATGAACCCTTGTGTAAATGTTACTGGACAAAGGGGGTCTTGATCCAGATCCCAGTAGAGGGTTTTTGGATCTCACACAGGAAGGAATTCAAGGTGAGTGGCAGCGTGTGGTGAAACGAGATAGTTTACTGAAAGCTACTCCATTACAGAGTAGGGTGTTCTCAGAAAGCAGATGGAGGAACACTGTCTGTCTCTAAGTTTTTCTTGTAGACGGGCTTTGTCTATGTAAAGACAAAACTAAGCTGTGCCTGTGTGTGGATGGGCTGATGGTGTGACAAAATTTATTACTTTATTGATGTAAAGAAAACTATCCCTGACATTTTAGTGTGTAAGTCCATCAAAGCGTAACTATAATTATCTTGAAAGCATATATTGTTAAGGGTATTGGGACAGCTGGACTTTCTGCTGTTATACGAGTGTGTCCTTGTTGGTATCTTCGGTCTGTTTCCTCAACTGTAAACATCTTAGGACCATGGGCTGTGACTGGCAAGGAATGTGCTTACTAGTTTCAAGACATAGTTGACTTTTAAATGGTGTCACTCTGACTCTCCTAGGCTCCTGCTTCCCTGACATAAATGCCAAAAAGGAAAAAAAAAAAAAAAAGGTTTGTTTCTAGTCAAGACTTGTTAGCTCCAGGCTAATAAAATCCAGTTTAAAAAAAAGAAAAAAAAAGTAGTTGCATTCCAAGTCTCTGGGTTAGTGGGATGCCAGAGACACATTTGGCCTGGGGAAATGCTAAAGAAGATTAGACAATGCTACCTTACTGGAAAGCACCCTCCAGGCAGGAAGAAGACTCCACAGGCCTGAGTCGACTCCTGGACATTCCCCTTCTTCCTCTTCCTGTTGTTGTTGTTGTTGTTGTTTTGTTTTTGAGACAGTCTCACTCTCTCACCCAGACTGGAATGCATTAGCACAACCTCGGTTCACTGCAACCTCCGCCTCCCAGGTTCAAGCGATTCTCCTGCCTCAGCCTCCCCAGTAGCTAGGATTACAGGCCCCTGTTACCACACCTGGCTAATTTTTGTACACTTAGTAGAGACAGGTTTCACCATGTTGGCCATAAGGTTGAACCCCTGACCTCAAGTGATCCACCCACCTCAGCCTACCAAAGTGCTGGGATTACAGATGCCTGGTCTCTTCCTCTTCCTTATAGACCCCCCTACGGTCCACTCACAGTCTTGGAGGTATTCCCACCAACCTCCAGTTTGTCCAGGATCAGACAACCCCTCAGGACTATGGGCCTGGCTTTCTCTGCTTCTCTGCAAGTTAACCTCAGAGAACCAACGTGTGATCAGGTCCCTTCATATAAAACTTACCAGTGCCTCAGAAATCACAGAAAGAGTCGGGGCTTTGGACTGGGCACCTTTCCACTAACTTTAAAGCAGGCATGGCTGTTCTGAGGTCTGGATGGGATCTAGTTCTTACAAGCCCTTGAAATTAGCAAGAAGAAAATAAAATTGTGCCATTCTGGATCATATCTGCACTGATTAACCTCATCTATTAAAGACAAGATTACATTCAGGAGGAGACTACCCACCCCAACAACAAATGCAGCAGTTGTATAAATTCAGTAGGTCTCCACCTCATCTCATAGAACCATGCAGACCATAAGGGTAGAAAGTGTTTCTTCCTTATTTTTGTTACTTAACCCTCTGTTTAACCCCCAGATTTTCCCCTCCTCTGAAAACACCTGGCACTGGAGAAGGGTTGACTGAATTTTGCTCATGAATCTGGCTCTAGCATTCCATCAGATTGGCCTCCTTTCTCGAGTGCCCACCCAGCACCCAACAGAGGTTCCAATGCCATTTTCCAATGCCAACCACACCCTCAACCACCTTTCCAGTGTCAACCTTAACCTTAGCTGCCAAGATTCTCCAGAGCTCAGCCTTGAAGCCTTTCTTCTTGATTACGCCCAAGAGTATCAGACTCAAAAGCTTGGCCAACCGAGTCTTCAGCAGACCCATCACAGATGCCATTTATATCCTGCTTGCTTTCTCACCAGCACACTTCTCTTCTAAAGGGAATCTAGGGAAACAATTGTTTCTGCTTCCACTGCAATCTCCTACATTCAGTTCCAAGCCAGTGCTGGGAACCGAATGTGTGTAAATGAAGGCTTTACATTCTCAAATGTGCAACTCTGCTGCCATGGCTTCAAACCAAAACGAAGATCCGGAGGCACTCATTGGCAGGCTTGGGTCACACAGATGTTCATCTGGATCTTTCAGGACAGATATTACACTTTTTGTAAATATTTAGATCTGGCCGGAACGTAGTCACCTAGAGCTCTCCCTATCGGTTGAACAGGTTGGCAGCCAATTCCGCAGCCAATCTCAACTTTTGTTCACTGCCAAATGATTCCCCTGCACCCTCTGAGTTTCTGTGGGAAGAATCCTTCCTTGCTTTCAAGATGACCTCAGATTTCTGACCAAACCCACTCAGGTTACAAGGAACTTCTGTGACTCATGTGACTCAAGAAAGAAAGGAGAAAGGAGAAATAGCTCTGAGGCTGCTGGCAGCTTCCCATTTGTCCACACCAGTAGATTTTGAAGGGCAAGAGAATAGGAATGAACCATGTCTGAGCAGCCAATGTAGAAAAAATCTATGCTATAAAAACACTTCTGTCACAACAAATAAATTATACTTTAAACAAGAATAATGAATGTGTTCCATTCAAATATAAACCTCTAATGAGTAAGTTAAAACACAGACAATTTTGTCGAATTGTATTATTTGTGTGTGGGTATTAAAGAATGAATCAAATGACAAGTGTATGTGTGTTTTCAAGACCAGACTTCAGGGCAAAACTATCTCAATTTTCATTTCCCTCAAGTGCAAACTGGTCATTTTTCCCCTAATAGTAATTTCCATTAAGAAATGGGCAAAATATATGCATGTGCTTGTATGTGTGTGTGTGTGTGTGTATATATATATACATACACACATATATACACACACGCATATATACACACACGCATATATACACACACACACATATATACACACATATTTGTGTATATAGGTAGTGTTGTTATCCCACAATGCCTCAGAGACAGCCCTGCCCTTAACTGGCTGAAGGATATGGGATAACAACACCTATATACACATATATTTGTGTATAGGGACCACTGCAACAGGGTCTTGCAGTGAGGGAGAGAGATTGGACTCAACTCCCTATTTGTAATATGTATAATGCAATGTACAACTGGAAGGAAACATGGTATTTCCAGTAATAAGCTTGTAATAAGCAACAAAGTTTTCTTTTAATAATGATGCTAAATTCCAGGATGCCAACATTCTTTGCTGATCCCTAAAATTGTGCGCCTTGTAAGAATTCCAACTCTATTCTTCCCTCTCCACTTAGGACACCTTGATGATATTTATCACTCCCTGGTGTTTGTAACTGAAATGTAATATGTATCCTATGTAAATACACAATCTGCTTAGTCATATATGCTTTCTTGAGTAACTACCAAAGAGACGGGTTGGCTATGATTCTTTTCGAGCATCCAAAAATACTCACCAGAAGGCACTAAACAACCAATTTTCCTAAGATTATCCATCTACTAATTTGGGGGCTCAGAGAAGTAGCGTGCTCCTAATCTCTTCTGAGATGCTGCCTCCTAGATTGACTCCACACCAACTCTGATGCAAGAACAAAAGGTGGCTCCCCAAAAAGGCTAAGCAATTTTATGGGATGAGAAAAAGGCTACAAATGATCATTTACTAAGCATTTACTTTATGCTTCGTTACTGTTGCTATGAAAGTACCATAAGAAAGATCCTAATTTTTGTATTCCAAAAGTTCCTGCTTTTGTTAACATTTCCACCCTCTCTCCTCAAATATATATATAAAAGGAATTTTATTACAGTGTAATCCATAAAAACCACACTTTTCTGATCTAGGTAATGGCTATCCCTCGTTGCTTCAGGCTAATTTATCAGATATTCATTGAGCACCATGCCAGATATTATTCTGGGCTCTGGAGCAAAACAAAGATCTCTGTCCCAGCGGATCCTCATCTCATCATTCCCTCACGAAGCTATGCATTCGGAAGCACCTTCTATGTGCTGACGCCACTAGGTGCTTTCACATGTGCCACATGTGAAGTCCTCAAAAAATGCACTACCCCGAAAACTGCCTGATTATTATCACGTTTTTAAAAGTTAGAAAATTCGGGCTGAGCATGGTGGCTCATGCCTGTAATCCCAGCACTTTGGGAGGCCGAGGCAGCTGGATCACTTGAGGTCAGGAGTTTGAGACTAGCCTGGCTAACATAGAGAAACCCTGTCTCCAGTAAAAATACAAAAATTAGCCGGGCATGGTGGCACACACCTGTAGTCACAGCTACACGGAAGGCTGAGGGAGGAGAATCGAACCTGGGAGGCAGAGGTTGCAGTGAGCCAAGATTGCACATTGCACTCTGGCCTAGCAACAGAGCGAGACTCTGTCTCTAAATATTAATTAATTAATTAATTAGTTAAAGTTAGAAAATTGAAGTTCAGAGAAGTTATGTGACCGGCCTCAATCACAGAGCTAGTGAAAGGCAGGACAGGAGTACAGGAGTACAGACCTGTTCCAAGGACTGTGATCTCCCATTTAACCACAAGGTCTCGGAGTCGGCCTGCCCTTAAGTGGCTGAAGGATGTGGGATAAAAACAACTGCCCCACTTCACTGTGTTAGTGTGTAATAATAACAATAGCATTAATAGTAGTAGTAATAACAGATAAATAAATGATAGCCGCTGTTACAATGTGTCTCATGTATCTCTTTGAGTTTATACTACCTGGAGTTAGTTGAGTTTCCCACATGTGTGCATTCATGTCTGACATAAAATTTGGAGCCTGGGCAACACAGTGAGACCCCATCTCTACAAAAAAAAAAGTAAAAATTAGCCAGATGTGGCACGCCTGTAGTCCTAGCTACTAGAGAGGCTGAGGCAGGAGGATCACTTGAGTCCAGGAGTCTGAGACTGCAATGAGCTATGATGGTGCCACTGCACTCCAGCCTGGGTGACAGAGCAAGACCCTGTCTCTTAAAAACAAAAAAACCCCAAAAAAACAAAAAACAAGAAGGTAAGTTTTTAAAAAAAACTTTTTTTTTTTTTTTGAGACAGTCTCACTCTGTCACCCAGGCTGGAGTATAGTGCCCCAATCTCGGCTCATTGCAACCTGAGTTCAAGCAACTCTCCTGCCTCAGCCTCCCAAGTAGCTGAGATTACAGGCACCACCATTCCCAGTTAATTTTTGTATTTTTAGCAGAGACGGGGTTTCACTGTGTTGGCCAGGCTGGTCTCGAACTGCTGACCACAGGTGATCAGCCTGCCTTGGCCTCCCAAAGTGCTAGGATTACAGATGTGAGCCAACATGCTGGCCCTAAAAAACTTTTTTAATGAGGTAAAATATACATACATAATTTACCATCTTTATCGTTAAGTGTACAGTTCGGTGGTAATACATTTATATTCTTTTCTTCCCTTCATCCTCCCCAATCCCCCCCACTTCCCAGCCTCTAGTAACCACCAATCTACTTTCTATTTTCATGAGATCCACTTTTTTTTAGCTTCCACATACGAATGAGAACATGAAATTATGTGTCTTTCTGTGTTTGGTTTATTTAACTTACTATAATGGCCTCCAATTCCATCCACGTTGCCGCAAATAACAGAAGTTTATTCTTTTGGGGGCTGAATAATATTCCATCATGTGTGTATATGCACATTATCTTCATTCATCTATTGATGAGCACTTAGGCTGATTCCGTATTTTAGGTGTTGTGAATAGTGCTGCAATAAACATGAGAGTGCAGATATCTCTTTGATATACTGACTGCCTTTCTTTTGGATATGTATCTAGTAGTAGAATTGCTGGATCACATGGTAGTTCTATTTTTAGTTTTTTGACAAACCTCCATATTGTTCTCTGTAGTGACTGTACTAATTCACATTCCTCCCAACAGTGTACGAGGATTCCCCTTTCTCCACATCCTTTCCAGCATCTGTTAGTGCCTGTCTTTTTTATTCAAGCCATTTTGACTGGTGTGAGATATCACATTATGATATTGATTTGCATGTCTCTGATGATTAGTGATATTGAACATTTTTTCTTATACCTGTTGGCAATCTGTATGTCTCCTTTTGAGAAATGTCTGTTCAATTTTTTTACCCATTGCTAAATTGGATTTTTTTTTACTACTGAGTTGTTTAAGCTCCTTATATATTTTTATTATTCATGCCTTGTCAGGTGAATAGTTTGCAAATATTTTCTCCCATTCTGTAGATTGTCTATTCACTTTGTTGATTGTTTCCTTTGCTGTACAGAAACTTTTTAGCTTGATGTAATCCCAATGGTCTACTTTTGCTTTGGTTGCCTGTGCTTCTGAGGTCTTACACAAGAAATCTTTGCCCAGACCAACACCTGGAAGTATTCTCCCAATGCTTTCTCCTAGTACTTTCATAGTTTCATGTGTTAATTCAACTATTTAATCCATTTTGACTTTATATTTTTGTGTAGTGAGAGATGGGGGTCTAGTTTCATTCTTCTGCATACAGTTATCCCGTTTTCTCAGTACCATTTATTGAAAAGATTGTACTTTCCCCCCTGTAAGTTTTTGGTGCTTTTGTCAAAGACGAGTTGGTTATAAATGCATGAATTTGTAACTGGGTTCTCTATTCTGTTCCACTGGTCTATGTGTCTGCTTTTATGCCAGTACCATGCTGTTTTGGTTACTATGCCTTTGTAATAAGTTTTGAAGTCAGGTATTGTGATCCCTCCAGGTTCGTTTTTTGGTTTGAGGGTTTTTGTGTTTTGGTGTGTGTGTGTGTGTGTGTGTGTGTGTGTGTCTCACTCTGTTGCCCAGGCTGAGTGCAGTGGTGCACTCATAGCTCACTGCAGCCTCAAACTCCTGGCCTCACACAGTTCTCCCACTTTGGCCTCCCAAAGTGCTGAGATTACAGGTATAAGACATTGCGCCCAACCCAGCTTTGTTCTTTATGCTCAGGATTGCTTTGCCTATTCAGGG